ATTAGTGGCCCCCAAAGACAGAACCCCCAAAGAACAAAAGTGTGGCGTGATTTACCACATTCGGTGCGCAGGTCAAAATATCAGAGGACCTTGCCCAGAGACATACATAGGGGAAACAGAACGGTCTCTCAAGACTAGATTTCTGGAACACAGGCGCCCCAGTTCAAACACATCGGAAGTGTCGCAACACATACACATCGAGTCCCCCGGACATACAGTTACATTGGACAAGGTGCGCATTCTAGATACGGAGCAGGATTACTTTGTGAGAAGCGTGAAGGAGGCAGTTTACATCAGGGCCCACCAACCCTCTCTGAACCGTGATGGTGGGAGATACCGTCTTCCCGCCACTTTTGATGCACTCCTGACGTCATCACGTTTCCGACTTCCGGAAAGTCAGCGATTGCATCACAAATCTGACGAAGGTTGACGGGATCAGCCGAATATTTATGGTGAGTTCTCCTTATTGTGTTGGAACAAGTCAAACTCTTTAACTATAGAAATGCCTTATTTGTGATAACATTTCTATACCAAACAATGTGAAATTAAACTGATTCAGTAGCTAATATCTGTTGTTGTCCAGTCCATTTAGTTTCCTGCCAAGTCCGACGCGCCATACCCCACATTCGAGGGTCATTAAGTTACTCGGACAACTTCCATACCCTTAGTTATCAATTGTACAAAACTTTAGTTACAAAACGTCAGTGTGGTCTGTCAAATCTTTAAGAATTGCGTGCGCGATATTGTTTTAAAGAGTACCGGCTTCTACTCTTTTCTCGATGTAGCAGATTTCATTTTTTTCATTCGTTACGTTTCAATGTAACATTAAACATCTCTTTGCTCAAGAGATGTTTGACAAAGACGCATCATAGAGCTTGTGGAGTATCAAGATGCCCGATTGTCTCGTCTTTTGACGATGCATTGTACATACAATGGTGGGTAACGCGCAGTAGGAAATCCATAACACTAGTCAAGTACCTCTGTGGTGAAGGCACGATCAAGAAGAATCTTCCTGTTGTCAGTGTTGCGTATTTTCTTTCCCTCTATCGGGGTGAATTACTAGACTGGGAAAAACGTCGGAGACATTTGATGACTTGTTGAGGTGGCGTCCCTGCCGCACAAACCAAGGCAAAGCTACTTACATGGATCCAGGAACAGGGTTAAACATCAAATCATGATTGTGATACGGCAACAGCCCAGTAACAGAATAATGGCCTCCACCATTAAGACGTCCGGATCTGCACGAAGAAGAGTCCAGGTGGCAAGAAAATTGTGTAACACATGCGCTTGTTGATCAATACGTGACGGGTAGAATACATGAAGAGGAGCTCTCCAAACCCGCTGGATCGACATGCTTGCCAGAGACCTGGCACTGGCACCACCTCAGACCAAGCACAAAGGCTCGCCATAACAGACAGAAATGGAGGGAACTGGTCGACCTGGTGGGCTCAGCACCAGAGGAGTGAGTGAGTGAGTGAGTGAGTGAGTGAGTGAGTGAGTGAGTGAGTGAGTGAGTGAGTGAGTGAGTGAGTGAGTGAGTGAGTGAGTGAATGAGTGAGTGATGAACGTATTCAACGATGCACCACAACAGTTTTCCTCTCGGCTTTGAACGGAGGGAAGACATGAATCGGCCACCTGGTAGATTCTATGTACCAAACAGTGACCAAGTTCAAAGACCAAAAAAGAGATATATCTACTTATAGATAGAATGGAGATTATAAGTCAAATGAAATAGAGATGATGGTACTAGCAAGCAGCGCAATAAATGCAGTGAGAAACGCGTAACTATCAGAGATGGCGGTAGACTACTAGTATTCCTAGCGAAGTCAAGACTTGCATAGCCAAGAAGAATGCATGTAATCTTATTCGTCGCCTGAAACTGTGCAGCGCTCTATTCGGTCGAAGCATTTCTAATATAGCTATGCGTAATGCTTATGAATGGCCTGTGCCTAAAAGCTTTTGCGAGAAGAAATAGCAGCGCTGTGGTCAGTCAATGTCAGTCTTAGTGTCGTAAAAGTTTATTAAAATTTCTAAAAGTTTAATTTGAAAATTCTAAAAGAATCAAATCATATATCAAATGTTTATGTTGATTATAGTTTTATATCACAGTCAAATTATCCGTCACAAGCAGCTAAAGCATCAAGAGAAAAGATAGATAGCAATTTAGATATATTACATAGATTAAGATAATCATGACAAGGTAGATCTTTCTTGTTTCTGACGCGTTTTCTACGCCATGTACCGAGACCTGACCTGTAATCTGGTAGACATGATTGGCCCCGGGTCCCCCTTCTCCGTCCTCCGCACAAGCTGAAGAAGGCCCGTACTGGTCGTACGTGTTGTGTCCATCGGTAGACCCGGCACACCAGCCGCCGTTCTGAACGGTAAACACGGTAAAGCCACGAGATCGTGCTACCATGTAACACTTTTCAATTGGGTTGATACGTGATGGGTAGAACCCGTCTAAGCGTGGATCGGTCCCCTCTAGAGTCGGTACGGCACGGGGGTGAGAAATGTCCCTCCAGCAGTCCAGACTAGTGTACTCAGGGCCGCCACTTGCTGTGTAGTAAAATGAAAGTTCATCTGTGTTGGTAGTAATCATAGTAAAACTTAATTTCACAAGTTACACAGATATTAAGTGACCACTGTCGCCTTAATCAGGATAATCAATGACTTATCACATCAAAACCTAATCTCGCGTTTGATAAATTTTGCTAATCTTTTTACACTTTAAGGGTGAAAATGAAGTGATTTGAAAATTAGTCTTCTAAACGAGCCTCTTTTCAACAGTAAGATATCGTTATAATTATAGATTGTGCGCATGAGAACTGCCAGTACATATGCTTTTAAGAACTGTGTCTTTGATATTTTGACTAGAAGCCGTACGTTTGATTTTGTAGACCTCGTTTGCCCATACCCCGCCCTCGCCGTCCGGTTCGCAGTCAGAGGACGGTCCGTACTTGTAGAACGTGTTCAGTCCGTCTGCTGAACCGAAGCACTGTCCGCCATTTTGGATGGAGAACACTGGGTAATTGTTGGAAAGAGCCACCTGGTAACACTTTTCGATCGGGTTGTCGCGATACCGGTAGCGCTTGTCCAGACGTGGGTCCGTGCCCTCGAGTAGGGTAATGGCGCGATCACTCTCGTCTTTCCAGCAACCCAGACTGCTGTATGCGCTACCACTGTCATCTTCTTTATATGAAAGATGGGGTCATTGATTATCATATAGAAAAAATCTAGCAAGTATCGATCAAAATAGTGCACAAATTCACAAGTTTGTGCTTATGCCTGCACACACACACGCACAAAGCCACACGCGCGCACGCACGCATGCACACGCACGCACAAACACACACACACACACACACACACACACACACACACACACACACGAAGCTCACAGACATACACACGCATATATCGACAGAAATAAACACCATTAAATACAAACCCGTATCACGGTAGTCGATACAATCCGCACAGTCACAATGATCTGCAGTGTTCCCACAATAGTTGTAAGGAGAACAGCAAGGGCCAGTACCGTCAGGGTCGCACTCAGCGGTACTCCCGTCTCCTGTAGTGTAACCGTCTCCACAGCGGAGGTCGTCCCGCCATTTCTGGGTAACTATTACAAAAATGATAAACAAATAGCAGTTAGAAAAAAAAAATTCAAAGGTAGGCAACTTTGTTCATGTTTCGTTTTTTTTCTCACATTTGTTTTTGTATACAGTTTATATAGGGCCAAGAATCATTATTTGACTTGTACATCATCAAGCAGGTAAGAATAGTTGATAAAAATGTGAACAATAAATAGTACGATGTAGTTAACAGGATCTTTTCAGTAACCAAAACTGTTAAAAGCTGTATTACAATGGCACAAATTCGGCCTTGGTTATCTGGTCTTTAACCTGAACCAGAATCGATGTATGGTAAATGTTTAGAATACCACCCTTTTCTCAACATACAAAAGATTGTCATATAGTATAAAACACATATTGACATAGAAATATAGATTTACCGGGTGCGAAGGCAAATGATCTAGGCCAGCTGCCGTAACTGAAGGAAGTAAAATGATATAGACTTTAGAGAACTATCATCTCATTATGGAACACTGCGTTACCACAAGAACATTTTCAAATACATTTAATTGACATGTTTACCTCTGTGTGCGAAGGTTTTCTTGTCGTCGTATCTGTGCGTTTTTGTGTATAACCATAGTTATTTCACCATAAAGATTAAATGTGATTAAACAAGGTTGACATAAGCTATGCGTTATGTTTGGGACCGCATTTGTCTATCTACAGCGCTAGTTTTTAACGGTCGGAGTTACCAAAATGTTGGCCGGTGAGTCCTCCTGTTGATATAAGGAAGAACCACAGATATCAGACACTTACCTGTCTGTACTAACGCCGTTCTGACTACTAGATAGGTAGGAATCCTGTCCAGGCCACTTGTACACAGTCACCAGTCCACCCGTGCCTGTGATTCTACCATCATGAACAGCAGCACGGCAAATACTCGAATCCTGTTGAAGAAAGGCATTAGATCTTCAAGCAAAGCGCCTTGGATCCAGTGACCCATGTCCATAAAATGTGTTTTTTTAATCTGTTAAATACAGAGGAGTCCACGGCCTTATACAGACATTACGACAGATGCGCACGCTTTTTAAAGTACAGTATATCTATAATATCAAATCTCCTCAAATACATGTGATGGGGCAATAGAAATTAGACACATTCGTTCTTCTCAACACAGCAACATCTAGCACTGAAAAGAAGTACAGACTGTATTCACACTTTACATTGTACCTACATTGTACATACCATGATCTGAATCGTGTACAGACACCAGGCAGTACTTACGTCGGTGTAGATGTAAGTTCCCCACACTTTGTTTGCGTTGCTACCGGGACAACCAGAAGGGCAAATGACGCTGCCAAAAAATAAGAATTGCAAAAACCAAGTACTTTGATAAATCATTTCGGCAAAATCGTAAATACAATCTAATATTATATGTTCAAGAAGTTCAAAATGATGTGCTTTATACGTCTAATAAAACATGTTGGCGTGTGCCTTACGTGAAAGTGTCGGTGCTAAACTGGGACGAATCAGCAGTAGTAGAACAATCCGCGACAACTGGAAAGAAGGAAAAAATTTATGTCTTATGTCTAATGTTAGCTAGTATGTTGTTTACATTACTTCAAAAATGGATCAAGAGAAAAGCCAGTCATTTATATTTACAAAGAAGAGTACAGAGTGCAAGTAAGGATAACAAGCACCATCACAAGAGGTTCCATCTTCGCTTAATGTTTGGCCTACATCACATGAGCACAGAACGTTGCCCTGTGTCTCAATGTAGATGACCATGCGATTAGCTGTTCCAACATTTGTTCCTAAAAATATAGGAAAATATATAATTACATAAGGTATTAAATAAGTTATGTTTCAGCTTTTTTTAATACAAAAGAATTCGCTGTGAGCACTTGATTACATTTGACATTTAACTTACCAGAGTTAAAAAGTGTTTCCCAAAGTATTACCAGTTTCTTTAGCCACTAGGGCACATAGTTGTGCTAGTAATGGATAAGGAATAACATTACTGGCGACGCCGTACATAAAATACACAATCAATTACAACATAGCTCTAAAGTACGTCCATTGAATATGGTGATTGAGACTGAGAGTTGGTAATAAAATGAATATGCGTACCGCTGTCAAAGTTGATGTTTGTATCTAATTTAGAAAACATGATGAGAGGCAGCTGATCCTCGGATGCCCTCTCCCATGTACAGACTCCGTCAGGACCTTCGTCAGCCACCATGAGCCATCCGGCGTCGACTGGACAACCTCCATAGTTCCGGTTGATGTAGAAAGACCTGCACCGAATGACAACCATCTTTGTGTATGTGTATGTTTATTATTAGAAACTCCATTAGTAAAAAAAAGCAACAACAACAGTAACAATCAATTTGCTTGAAATACGAAATAAAAAGATATAGGAAGAACCGTTCTAACAGTTTAAGGCTCAGACTTTACCTTTTGGCCGAGGCATCTCCTTCAATCGAGAAGAAGTTTTGCGGTTCAGTGTCAATGTCGTTCCATGGGGATGAGACCAGACGAGACTTGGTGAACCAGTTGAACTTGTCGGTGTTTTGCCCATCGAAGATCAGCTCGAGATTTCCCGAAGAAGACTCCAACACGACCTTGACCTGCACAGAAAGGACAATTGCTTAGAAACAAAAACACCATCTCTATCCCCCCAGCCAGAACAAAAAGACTTCAAAACTCTTTTCTAGCTACATCAGCACATCAGACTCTACAATCAGACTGGTAAATGGTAATCAGAATGATTCTTGTTATGTCTGGGATGAACAGTTCATATTGGACAAATTAGAAGTATTAATATATGTTTATTTTATTAAAAATTATCTGTATGTCTGCAAGATTGATATGATAATAAAGAATTGGAAGAATTATGATATTCTTCAAACGGACGTTTACCATTGCTTAGTCCTGCTTGTAGAAAACAATCGTGGGACTTTCTAATCCAAACCAAGCTTTCAGATCACACTTCTACTCAACATTAAATAGAATTATTAAAATCGTAAGTTTATTACAAATTGTATTTCAAATACAATGATGAGAAGCTAGATAACCTAATCTGGGGTAGTAGGTAGAAAATTACTTTTTAAGAAACAGTGTGCTCATACCGTCGAACGTCTAATATCTATTGCAGTGTCATATGCGTTTTCCTATATTCCTTACTGTTACGCATGCGAGCAAACTGAAAAAATAATGATGTATTTACCTGTTGAATATTCAGCGATCCCCAATGCTCTACAACTGGACATTTGTTATGGAGAACCTGGTCGTCAGGACCGGCACTCCAGGCATCGTAAACAGTCTGTCCGGTTCCTTTTAAGGTAGAAAACACTTCCAACCACTCGGCGTTAACTGTAAGAAATGGGTAAAAGCGTCAAGACACGATATGTGTTTGTAAAAGCTCTGGTATACAAACAGGATGGTATCTAGGATGGTTTCCAGTAGGGAAGAGAATCGCACATATAAGAATAAAGATTAGATTACAAATAGGCATATATATCAAATATTATTTAGAACTTAGAACAAGTAGTATAAGTTGATCCATCTATTGTATGTCTTGTACGCAGGTTAATTATGCTGTACCTGTGTGTCTGTCTGTATGTTAATATGCAGTTAAAGACCTTACGAAAGTTCTTCTTTATTAACGAAAAGAAAATTTGCAAATTGCAAATCTTATAAGCTTAGTAAGTCGATCGGAATACTTAGCATATCATTGCTGCTTTCCTCCTAAAAAAGTAAGTTTGCTAATACCAATATCAACGAAGTAAAGTTTTCACACAAATCAAACGTAGAAGAAACTTACTAAGACCAATCGAAAGAATAATGTAGGTCAGAGTTAGCCCACGATGTATCACCCAGCTTGACTCGACCATCTTCGTTAGTACAGCAGTACGTGTTGTTTAACACGCAAATGCATCTCAGTTCAACAGGAATGGTAAAACTAAGAAAAATATCGGATTTCTTTTATTTCAACGACCAGATGTGCGTAAGTGCGTCGTATTCTTTTAATATCAAAAACACGTACTGATAGCAAACAACATTTGCGGACTTTCTCATTGAGTGACATGTTTTTGGTCGATAATAATCTTTTGTTTCTTGGTTTCTTGTGTTAATCTTTTGTTTCTTGGTTTCCGGCTGTGTCCCGATTGGAGTTTTACCGACCATGTCCCACACTATGTGTAAAACAAAAAAAGTTATTTTTTTGTCAGAAAAAACGTTTTAACGATCTGTAACATTTTTGTTTATTATATAAAAACTTGTTTTTTGAAAAATGGATTTACCAGGATATATTCATCATTTCTTGTTTAATAAAGATTATGTCAAAATTTGAAAATGTGTGAATCTTGTTTTAGCCCGCCTTGTGTTTGTTTGCCATATCGCATTATGTTTGGAATCTGCAGAGGATGTCATCCATAAAAATTACTAGTACTTGCTGTTATTATTGTTATGGCGCACTGGCTGTCCACATGGCCGTCACCTTCTACGAGGATAACCTTGGCATTATGGGAGTAAATGTCAATACGATATGTCAAATCGACCTTCTTTCAGTTGCTTAGTAATACTTTCTAGTTCTACCTTCTTTTCGTGACAAAAATAATAGAAGTTTGCATTTGAAATACATAATTTGACCTAATTTTGTTCAGTAGGAATCGATTTTAACACAAGCTGTTTCCCAACTCAATAGATGAGGTCACGCATACGTGTTGTCAAACGACGTAACAGCTATGCTGTTAGCACAAAAACAAGTAACATATTGCAGTATATCGATAAGAATAGCCTGGAGCGTTTCTAGATACAAAATAGCTATGAATAAAAGTTTAAACAGGAACTATGCAGCTCCAGATGTCTTACTGAGGGACGACTGCATGCGCGAGATGTCAGTTAGCTTGCGAATTTACCGCAAGATTTTCTAGTGATTAACAAAGACATAATAACAAACTGCACAGAAAACATAATCCTGTAGACAAATTTACATTATCATAATAACTGTGCTGGAATCGAATTAAAAGATGCTAAACTTTTGATGTCCAAGTGTAGGGTTGACGTGGACTTAAGAATATCCATGCACAAGAGCCCCCTAGCGGTAGTTGGTGTAGCCGGCCTATATCTTCCTTTGCTTGTAAAGATAGCCGTAGTCTCGGATCGATATCAGTGTTAGTCGTAAATGGGAGCCTACTTGTGACAATCGTACAGACTGCAGTCTTTATTTTAAAGCTTTAGAGTTTTGATTTTAATACATGTATTATGAAATTTAAGAGATTATGGAAGTACGTGGGGTGTAGAAAATTTGGTTAGATTTTAGGTTATATGTGTTTGTTACACCCGTAATAAATGTGTTTTAAGCTAGTTATCTACAATGTATATATATTAATGGATGCAACCATCTGTTGGAAAAGTGACTGTAGCGGACAAAACACAGACTAAAGCTAGCTAGAACCAGCTGTCCCCGCAAACGCAGGAAACGTCAATTCCTCCTACGGCAAATGATCAAACAGGTCCAGTAAGAGCCAAGGGCTTAAGCTCGTTTCTTGACTTCTCTTCGATGGAGGTCATGGTAGAAGAACATATAGATGGCTAAAAGGAACCATCCACAGGATATTCTAACGGCTGGCTTAGGAAGGCTATTCAAGATAATTGCAAGGAAATCTCCAAAACCCAAGGCCTACGGTTGGCCTTCTACAAAAACGTTTGACATGATGGGAAGGTTTAAGTAAAGAGCCATAGCCATGTAATGGATAAGTGTCTAAACAGAAGCTATCGATGTTGTTATTGTATCACCAATATTATAAAATCATCAGAATCACATCGTTTTTATGTGGAACACACATAAAAAAGATTAAGGACTGCATCACTGTCGTGATTACATAATCTGACAAATCCCAGGTGTAATATCGCTAGGCCGCAATATGTCACTCATGCGTGATAAATGGCCGGTGGGTCGTTCAGTACAGCAAGCAAACCTACATCTAGCCAGTACTTTAATCCTTTTCCCCAAAAGACTTATGCCAGCGATCTGTCTACGGCTAGAACCAGAAGGTATTTCTATATTCTGCCCGTACAAAATTCCCTGGGCCTGGTACTGCTTAGCACTTAGAAATAACCTTGCAGCAAATAGTTGTGCTTTTGGACGTTAATTTATGTCTTCCGATGTTGCAATAACTTGGGGGAACATTTAGTGGAGACCTACCGCATCCCGGATCATCAATATTAAGAGCCTATAAGGCCTAACGTGCCGCCCTCATGACCCCAGAAAGCTGCGGAATAAACAATTCAATTACTGTCGGAAACCTCAATTCCATTCCTCACAGCTAACTTTCCTCACGGGACGGGTATAGAATCTACCAGCAACCAGACTACACACACTTCTCAGCTACCATCGGAATATTATATCTTTCTCATTACTTGTTATCTCTTAGGTTTTTGTCTTCGCTTCTGTAATGATTCAAGCTTTGCATACATTCTTACTTAAGGCGATGCATTCTGATGGTTTTTTGCAGGGCTGGGCGAAATGTGTTTTTGAAGAGATTACGTTTTTGTCCTGATTCCCTCGTGGCTTAAAGATAAATTACACTGATGCATGGGAGAGGCGGATCGGGTCAGGTCACTAACCAACCGTAGTAAACGTTTAGAAGGCTCGAAGGACCAAACACTAATTGCAAAACAAAACTATTGGGATGTCAACTCTATTCATGACTCTGTCAGGCATTTCCCAAAGCTATTTATAATAAGCGTATTCGAATACAGTGCTTAAATTTATATTTGATGACATCGCATACATTATTAGTTCAGATTTTGTTGCTATAATATATTTATTTCCTTGCGATCCCCTGATGTACAATAGATAGTAAGAGAAGAAAAGAAGCAACATACTAGTTCCAAATGTATTTTTAGATAAACAAAGAATCACGTCAACTGCAAAAACGTTAGTAAATTCAGTCGTAGACTGGTTGAGGAGTTAGTTTTGCATGCAACAAAAATATTTTTGCAAACCTAATAAACCTAGGCCTGTGAACCCCGATATATCTCAACAAGGATGCTCTATATTTTCAATTAGTAAAATTGTTTGGAATTGCCTATGCATTCAATAGTCAACTAATCTAACAAAACCCATAAGTTCTGGGCCCACGTCAAATCAGTCACCAAAGCCGGCACCCCCCTCCTGCAAGAATAACGTTGATAGAATCCGATGCCAAGATGCAACAAAGTCACGCCATCTGATTGGCTAACGGCTAAAGGAGGAGGGGGAACAGTGTTAGAGAGGTTATTGGTGCTGCAATCCGTGAAGAAGGGTGAATCAGGATTGCTATACCATCTCATCGTCTTACTACTCCCTGCTAGATATTCTGGATCGTTTGCAACCGTTCTGCCGCAGTCCTACGAAGTGACCAACCGACAGTGTTGAAACAGGGAATCGGGACAGGTTGGTAACTGTTTCACATAATTTACTAAAAACCATTGTACAAAACCGTAAACAACAACAAATACAAATGTGAGCGATGTGATGATATATATTTGAGCGCTGTTTTGAAATAATCTGGCTAGAAAAATTAACTGTTTTCTTTAGAGAAATGGCCATGGTCGTAAGACCACATTGCTTGCTATGCGGGTATGCATCCTGCACGAATAAGGCAGTTTAACATTTTTGGTTAAAACTTATGTAAAGCTAAAAGATGCTAACGGCTAGACATCAGAGACATACACACGCTTTTTTCTTAACAAACATAATCAGATTTTAGCATGAAAATCCATCTGTGCTGGTAGACTTCATTATAACGAAAAGGCTAAACGTTATGCCCAACGGTAAGTAAATTGGGACTTACCCAAATTTCCGGCTAACTACGTCAGCCTTGTCCAAATTTACTTAGCGTTGGACATAACGTTTAGCTTTTTTGTCATAACAAACATGATCAAATTTGCTAGCGTTTGCTATGGCTAAAGCATAAGGGATTAGGATCAATTCAACCATGTCTACATGCACTAGCTTGTAACGGCATTTATAGGCCTAATTAAGTTATTATAATGTCGTGCAAACATTTTTATAAACAATCACTTTATAATGATATAAAAGGAGTATCGAACGCAAACCGTATCATTGACATGGATTTAAACATGTTAACAAATATAAATTTATTTACAATGTATTCCTAGTATTACAACTAGTCGCACTGCTGTGCTTCTGTCAGTTTATTTAATTGTCTACCATGTTGACTTATTGCCGTCACAGCATGGGCAGATACGCAGGTGTCAAAAGTCATCCTTCAAAGCTGATATATTAAATCCCGTTAATATTGCATTGCGGCCAACCATTAATCAAATACATTGCAAGCAGCACCAACAAGTCAATACATCAACGACATCCTCACAATTAGCTACAAGGATCTGGGCTTGTCTGAAAATTGTAAAGATTACTTACCGATGCGGCGAATATTCTGCAAAAAGTGGAGACATCATTTTGGATCAGTATATAGTATATGTTTGTAAGGTTTATGTTAGGTTTTGACACGTTAAACATAATCAAGCACAGTATCAACGTTATGTGTAATTTCCGTAGCATATCAAACCGTTCTTGCATTGCACTGGATGATTTGCAGTTTCTACTTCTGTAAGCTACAGTACTAACATTATTGAAGCTATTTGCCGTAATTTGCTATTTGTTTTGTTTTTTTTTCCAAATTGCTGCAGAAGCTCTTGGTATACATTGTTAACTAGCTTGGTATTTATTCTTAAAACTCATTTTGTTTGTCATGCATTTTGTGTACCATGGCAGGAGAAATATAACTTTGCAAAAGGTAACTTTGTAACTTTTACCGTTAAAGGCAAAAGCAACATTCTACTCAACCCAAAATATCCATGTCATGTATAGAATTTTCAA